ACTCTCCATAACGACCTCAATAAGATCCAGTTTACCAATACTCAATATCCAGCTTAACTAAAAATTAAAAATGATATGGAGAAATTAAAATTACTGGCACAAAACAGACATATTTGGAAAGGGCTCATCGAGGAACTAAGTAAAGCGGACGAAGCGGAACTGTCATCAGACTTTTCGGCGATACGGCGATGATGATGATGATTAATGGTAAAGTCTCCTGCAAACTCTAGACAAATTTGCAAACTATGTTTTTTTTTTATTGTATATTTTCTAATTCTGTAGAAGAATACTGTATGTAAATTATTGGGTCGATTAGTTTTCTTTCAACTATTAAACAACAAATCAATTTATAATAGAATTAATTAATTAGGATGTATTTTTTGGATGGTAAAATCGACTTTTTGACTGTATTAATGATAAAATTAATGTTTTTTTTAATGGAATATACAATATATAACTACTTATTAATTGATGTGCATTGTACCAATGAGATATTGATGAATTTAAAAATATTTTTAGTAATTAAATATTTTAATATTGTTTGCTTTGTGATTTGCTACTGCTACTCTTCGTGGTCTATTTGAGATTACACTGATACCTACTGGGATATCTAATCCGTCATCTGCATTATCTATTCGTTTTAGGAAGAAACCATTTTTATCAAATAATTGTAGTTTATGATTACTTGATACTATTATATTTTCATCTATGTCCATAGTTACATCACAAGGAGCCCAGACTTTACCATCTTCTTTACCATAGCCTACAAGAGTTCTCATCAACTTATCATTTGCATCAAACATTTGTATTCTATTACTTTCAAAGTCAGCAACAATCAGACAACCTTCCTTGGTTAAAGTGACACCTTGTTTTTGTTTCATACTACCTTCTCCACTACTCTCTGAACCTATTTTACCTAGTAGCCTGCCATCGTCAACATTGAATTTAAACACACAGTGAGCATTACGATCTGCTACATAAAGGACTCTAGTTTCCTCGTTTACTATCAAACCCCTAGGATATTTCAATATTCCTTTTCCAAATGAACAGATTTCTTGAAAACCACTACTAGACATTACAACACGTTTTCCTAAGTCATCACTATATACCATGTTACCATCACTCATCTGATGCATTCTATGTACTTGCACATCTTGTGGCACCTGTAACCTAGCAACAAAACAACCTGATTGGTTAAACTTTAGTATGTCTTTACTAAAGCTTGATACTAACATGCATCCATCTTTATCTAACACCGTATCTGTTACCTTAGCTTCCTTTCTATGTTCTTTGTAATCTGATATGTTATCAATGTTATGAACAAGTCCCAATGGTTCCACTTTGACATTTAGTGGAGATCCTTTGATGTGTGCAGCTCCAGCAGTTATCTTCATTTTCCAATCGCCTTCCATATTGTATCTACCTGTTATCTTATAATCTCCTCTTCCCTGATATTTTATATTAGTGACTGATTCTTCACCTGATGAGTTTAGTGAGGTGGCAGCTAATTGACATGCATCATTCTCTGTGAGACTTGATATGTTAATTTCAAATGTTTGTCCTTTTGTAACAGAAATTGCTTCATCGACAACTTTGTATGTCATGCTATCATCAGTTATGATTTTACCAACACCCTCCATATTCATCAACTCATCCAAATGTGTAAATGGAATAAAGTTTGGTGTGATATTTCTTCTTTGAAATGATTGTTCAAAATCAGTTCCTAGGACCTTGTCTTTAACAGATTTTATAGTTGTCTTATGGGATAAAAGAGTTTCTGTTTCATCTGGTTTGTTCATCATTAAATTGATTGAGACTATTAGATTCTTTACTTGAGTAATTTTTGAATTAATATCATTCTTTCTTATCTTTGTATATACTTTCAAGGTCCAATATTAATTCTTTGCTTTTCTCTTGAACTTTCCTGATAAGTTTATTTTCCTGAATTTCTATAGCTCTTCGGCATAACTTCATTTGGGAATCAAATTCTGATCTATCTGTAGTTAACTTTTCTAGTTTTTCTGTTAGTGTCTTTTCAATTTCATGAGCTAACTTTACAATTCCATTGGCATCTTTGTTAAACTTATCTATAGCACTGGACATCATGATTACTTTATGCTGTTTTTGAAAACAGTGAAAAATGTGCTGACAGTTCTCACATGCTGATTTGCTGCAAGTGGAGCAGTAAAATTCCTGTGGGGTTTTGTAGTGTACCTGGCAATTGGTTGGTTTGTCATTCTGTTCCTCTATGTCTAGTGTGTAAAGTGGATGATCTCTAGTTACAGCTAGTGTTTTGTGTTGTTTGGCACATTGCGCTCCACATAGATATTGTTGACATGTTGAGCAGTGGTATGCTGGTTGGTTGTCACAGAAAGAGCATTTAGTTGGTTTTTGATCCTCAATTTTCATGACATACTCTAGTAGTAGACTTATCATTTCATTTGAAGCCAGGTCTTCTTTTGTTAGATCATGTTCTTGTCCACATGTTGGGCATTTCATCTTACCATGAGTTTCCACCAATTTCTGGATACAATGTAGACAATAGGTGTGCATGCATTTCAGTGTTTTTGGTTGGTGAAACCTGCTGAGGCAGATGGCACACTCAAGATCGTTCTTATCCATAAATTCTAAAGCCTTGGATAGACGAGACATCTGTTAAAAAATGAGAGATAGTATTTTTGATTTTCTTCTAATACATTTTGAACTCATCCTTGCTTTGATTTGATGAAAGAGCAGAATTGTTTGATACTGATCTATATTAATATCAATGTTAATTAGTAGTTCAGTTGTATATATCAGAATGTTTACCATCACTACCAAGTCTACCCTCATCACATTTTGGAGCCTCATGAAAAAATGTACTTTTTGCTATTTCTCCAAAAATCAGTTACTTTTCCATAGAATATAATCAAATCTGAATGATTGTTGTCAAAATCTAGGCGGCGGTTAAAATATATTTTTGATTGATATTTTCTAAAAAAGTGTGTATGTTGATAATTTTTTTATTAGGATTCATAATTTCTCTTACTGTCTCTGCTCTAAAAGAATTAATAACTTTTTTTCAGTATTTTATATATTTCAATTTAATATTTGCTTTAATCTGTTGTTAATTAATACATATCAAGTTCTTAACTTGGATTTGACTTGTGTAAAAGTGAAGTATTACCTGTTGCTACCTGTTGGTTAGTTGAATGTGGGTGTTTTCTAGTATGTCAGGTAATTATAAAATGGTGTTTGACTGGCCTCTCATGTGGTACAAAAGTCCAATTCAAAGCATGCCCAATCATATATTACTTGTGGTCTTTGTAGCCGATACACATCTAAAATGGGATAAGCATTATTATTATCTTGTGGTTGGCTTGACAAGTGATTAGTTAATAGTAAAATCTTTCTTTTTTGTGGATACCCAGTTAATGTGGGGACATTGTTCTTCCTTAGGATCCAGATATTAAGCAAAAACTTAAATTACAAATACAAAATAAAATTAAATGAAAATAAAAATTTTATGCAGAATTAAGTATAATAGATTTAAATCATATTTTTGAAAGATTTAAAGAGTATTAGTGGTTGGTATAGTGCTTCAAATATTTGATGGTACTGTATGTTATTTCAAAGTTTGACAAAACAATATTTAAGTGAAGTTCATTTACCAGATTCATTTTGCTATGTTTTTTTTTTTTTTGATAATACATTTGCATAAGTGCCATGAGCGTTATGTCTGGCAGACACCGGCGCTATATAAAGGTTCTATTCTATTCTATTTTGGCAAGACCAAAGTGCTTTTAGATTTGCTTCTTGTGTTTATGTTGTGGTGCAACATGGACTTGACTTACTAGTAAATCAGTAATACTTTACTTAAAATGGATACACTAGACAATAGGTGTGCCTACATTTCAGTGTCTTTGATTGATTAAACCTATTTAGGCAGATAGCACACTCAAGATCTTTTTTATCCTTAAACCGTTGATATACCATTGAGGTATACAAAATTATACCTCCATGGATATACAGATCTGTTATTAGACAACATAGCTACATAGTATATTATGCTTTTCCTAAAAATGGTAACACATCTTACTTTTGATAAAGTCAACCATTCATTAATTAATAATCTTTTTTCATAAAGGATTCACTAATTATTTGCAAATAGAATATAAGTATGGTGACTCCGAAGAATGAGGCCATAATTGATATTACGTTTTGTTCTTTATTAGAACATTGTCAGGAATGAATATACAGTAGTCCATGATGGTGACAATACTTAACTACCAGAAATAAAAAATCAAAACAAAAAATAAATTCTAAAAAAGGTAGGCAAGTCTATAATGATAATCTATATTTGTCTTACAAATATTATATAAACTTGCTGTTTGGGAAGATATACTTTATCTTGGGAACGCATTAAATAAATGAATATATTTTTATAGTGATTTTAATTACATTTTTGCAACTGCCTCAGTTCCTTGTTTGTAAACAGTTTTTTTTAATGAATATTTATATTTTTGTTTATTAAAGGCCTAATCACACTTATCAAAATCATAAGATAATGTTATTAAAAATCAATTAGTGTATAGATAATTTATTTACATACAGAAGTTAATTTTAGTGTCTATAAAAATAATGTTTGTGTTATACTGTTTGATTGGTTAAAATTACAGTTTATCTTTTCTTTTTTAAATGTCTGTAGTGTTTCACATATGGATTGTGGATCTTGGTGCTTAGTACTTGGTTTGTTTTCTCTCAAATCTTCCATGAAAATTTATTATGAAGTTAGAGGTGATGTCATCATTTTCATTTGTACTGAATTTTTCTATTCCCGACTGATCACTATTATACAGTATATGGTGGCTCCGATTTTTGCGTCTCATGTGCAAAAAGCTCAAAGCTGGGGGGATTTTGCCACAGTACATCGCGATGGAATATTTTGTTGCTAAGCCAAGCTGAACACAGCGAACCTAACAAATCTCTCTCTATGGTGCTGGTTTATATGGATGAAGTCAAGACTATTCTAGGCAAGGCCTAGAAAGGGATGATGTTTATGAGATATCAAGGTGATTGACTTATAAAAGAGCTGAAAATTAAGGCAAAGCTGAAGTAATTAATATTAAGGCAAGACATTTTATTAAATAAATACAATTTCGTTTTCTAATTTAGGAATCAGTTTTGCCAAAAAAATCCAAATTGAAAAGAAAATAAAAATAAAATTTTATTGATGAATGTAAACAGTGTAAATGGAATGGTTAAATGCTTCAAATTGTATAATTAGGGAGAAATACACATCTTATTTTTAGAGATTTCAAGGCAGTGGCGGGCATAATAAGAATAAAGAAAAACTTTATTTTTTTTCTGAAATTTCCATTTTTCATGGGGAAGTGTGCGCTAATTGGCCAAGAACTAAATTTTTTTTTTATCTGAAATCATTATTGGCAGGTGGCAGGTTCACTAAACAAGGTATGAAAAAAGTCTTGCCTATGTTTACAATACATTTTGTTTAATTAAATAAATGTCTACCAGGAAGTTAGGGCTACCTAATAACCCATAATAAACTTCATTAACTCCGATAAATTTATTCATTTTCTGTGAAGAACGTCAGTGCGCATATAAATCATTTTAATATGCGCACATGCACTGTAATAACTAAATAGTGACAGTAACCAGCAGTTTCATTTATGAATATATAGCAACCGCTCAACAACCTGGTAGTTTGATTAAAGGGCCATATAAAAGGTGATGGATGTCACAAGTGAGAATATAAAGCAGTTATAATCAAGTGATTTCGTACACTATAGAAAATAGAAGCCTTAGGAGCTATTATTTCTTTCAAAATTTTCAGGAAATAATGGCTCCTCCGGCTTCTATTTCCTAAAGTGTACTCAAAACCTGAATAATTGCTTATTATATCTCTTGATATACTGATGCAAAAACCACAATTTTCTCTGCTTCAATCACTGTTTATATTTAAATATTTAATTATATAGTGTTATTCTTACTTTATAAACATTTAATTTCTTACCTTGATTCAAGTGTTGACCGGTAGAAGGGGAAATGTTGATACCTGCAGTTTTTTTGCTATAGCAATATTCAAATTTGTGACCTACTTTCCTATAAGTAGCAGGTCCATAGTATGTTTTATCATGGAGTACACTATGTTTTGTCATGTCTATTCTCCGCCCTACTGTTCAAATTGATTTTGTCTTTACTGCGTGGGGATTGTTTTGTTATTGTTCATCATCCCGTTACAATACATTCAATGTTTGTTATCAACAAGGTATGTTCACTGCATGCCTGGATGATTTTTAGTACATTCAGGTGCAGGCATTATCTATAACCTTTATTATCCCTTCTCTGTATAGACATTGTATATCCATCCATATTATCCATGGACAATTTTATTGCATTGTTAAAACAGTCTTTGGGGGCATAGACACTATGTTATCTACTGCACTTAACCCTGTAAGAGCGAGTAAATCCGGTGGGGGTGCATGATGGGTACTACTATCATGAGGTAGTGGCGCCCTATTAGAAAACCAATGGAGTTCGAAACTTGAACATAAGTCACGGGGTTCAATACCAATCCCTTTTCATGGACCTCCTTTAGATAGTGGTATTTTTTCGAGATACAGTAATGTACAGTAATAGGCAGTAGACACACGCTCCTGCTGGGACCCTATTTTTCTCAGTACTTTTGTTTACAAAAAATGATGTGATGTGCGATTAAGTCAGTTCTTGCATAATTCAATTTGATAGAGAGAAAGTGTTTTTAGCCACTTTATAAATAGATTAATCATTTTTTTCACTCAGAAACCAATGTTACTTTATTCCTCAATGTAGTGACTTAAACAACAAGAAATCAGTGTTATTTCATTATGCATTAAATATCCTAATAATTGTGATTGGTTGTAAACAATTCTTTTGAGGTGTTAAGCTTCAGTATGTGTGTGTAAACATGACTACATGTAAAGATGGATGGATTTATTTGGTGTAAACACCAAGGCTAACCCATTTTATTACACAATTTATTTATTATAGACAACATTTGTTGAGAGCTATGCTACATGATGTATTATCATGTCCTTTATTCAAACACTGTATTTATCTTTCTTTGATGATTCATATATAATTTAAAAGTGTTAACAGCTATCTTGATATATTTCATCGAAACATGCATATCTGACATCTTCAGTGTAGTGTCACTCTAATGCAATCTAAATATAATGAACAACCATGATACTATCTATCTATCTATCTTCCGAGAAATACAGGCCTCTCTGATGTGAGGATCATCGTACTTGTAAAGGTGTGGACTAGCTTTTACAGTACAGTATGTATAAAACAAAATGCATCATAAAATTCCTTTGATAATATACTGTAGCTGTACGTTGCGGCACCCCAGCCTTAATTTATTAAAATTATATTTCTTTATATGAAATTGGTAAATATTTAATCTATTTGTATTCACACTAATTGTTATATATTATTAATCCATATTTTTCAAAATATAGAATTTGTAAAAAAGTGTAAAATACATATCAAAAATATATAAGAAAGAGTATTTATAGGGTATGAAAGGAAGATGAAGAGGAAGATGAAATGGTAGCGCTTATTAGTGCATTTGAATGCCATTCAATAATTATATATTATAACATTGTTTGGTCTGTTGTTCACTATTCAACTATCCCAGTTGTCTTTTGGAGATTACAGCGATCTCTGATGGAATATTTCTAAACTGTTTTTTTCAAATAATTGTAGTTTATGATTACTTATGGCTGCACAATCAGAAGCTGAAACTTTTGCATCTTCCTCACCATTGCCTTTTTTTTCTAATGTGGATTACTGTTTAGTATGTTTTTTTTTATATTATTTTAATCCTGTGACCACAATGTAAATAAATTTGTGGCTATTGTTACACCAGTCATAAACCAATTCTACCAATGGCTATTATTTTTATGTGTCATATCATTAAACAAATGGATTGAAGATGATATAGGTTATTCTTAAGAATACATTAATGTATTAAGTTTGGAAATACAAACCAGCCACAAAGATGTTGCAGCATTTTTTTTTATAGGAAATCATTTAATAATAAAATATTTTAACATTGTTGGCTCCATAATTTGCTACTACTATACTCTGCTTGGGATTTTAGGAATTATAGTTACTCCATATGGGGTCCTTAATCCATCATCTTCAAGATCTATTCGTTTTATGAAGACACCATTTTTATCAAATATTTGTAATTTGTTGTTACTTGATACTACTAAATTTTCAGCCTTGTCCAAGGTTAAACCACAAGGACTCCAAACTTGACCATTTTCCTTACGACAGTCTACAATGATTCTCATCCAATTACCATTTGCATCAAACATTTGTATTCTGTGATTTCCATAGTCAGAAACTATTACATAGTTTTTCTTAGTTAAAGTGACATCTGTTGGATTCGGTAAATGCCCTTCTTTACTACCCTGTGACCCTATTTTGCTCATCAGTTGACCATTATCAATATTGAATTTACGTACACAATGTGCTCTATAATTTGTTACATAAAGAGCACTAGTTTCCATGTTTACTGCCAAGCCACATGAATCATTCAATATCTTTTTGCCAAATGACTGAATTTCTTTAAAATGCCATCATCACACTTTACTACACATTTTTCTAAGGCATCACTATACAACATGTATACAGCGGATTTTGTTGTTTGACGACTTTTTTAACGGATTTTGGATATTAGTTTTCCTTTTTGCTGATTTTGTGATTTTTATGCTCAATGTTGCTGAGAAACTTCATCATGGTTTCTAGAAGTGAAATTTCTC